TAAAAAAAAAAAAAAAAAAGGAAAAAGGGAAAACAGAGGTAAATAAATTAGGAAATACACACACAGAGAAAACAAACAAAAATAAAATAAAAACAAACAGGTGTTAACTAGGGAGGATGGGTAAATTCAAACCCAGCCCTGACCCCAGGCTCCTCCTCAGAAGGGCAGAACCCAGGGAAGGGGGACACTAGGTGACTGCTGGGACCAGAGAAGGAATTTATAACCCAGAGCCAGACACTTTCTGGAAGTAGTCTCCATGGATGCTGCCCTACGACCAGGAATGGGAGATGGGGCCACAGGCTGACAACAGTCAGGGACTGGTGGTGGCAAGGACCTTCTGCCCTGAGGGACGTGCAGCTCACTGCCCGCCCTGTCCTGTTATAGGATGATGAGCACAAAACTCGGACTGGCAGGTGGGGCTCCCGGTGCCCTCAGAATAGGGGTCAACTACATACACGCACCCAAGGAATCTTGGTCCCCCACCTCTCCACCCACGCGAGGTCTTTATGGAGAGGCAAAAGAGGGACCCAAATGCTCAGGGGACACTGGGAAAAGCCCAACACAGAAAGTTGGCCCCTGTCATCTCAGAGGGAGTGGGGCTGTGCGTGTCTCCTCGGTTCCAAGGCTCATGAGACTCGGTGGGACCTGCCTTTGACTGACAAAACCATTCCCCGACGTGAGCTCCTCAACCACCTCTGATGGCGTGTGAGGACCGGATGCATCTCCAGCACTGAGATGCTCCCCTCCCAGCAGGTGGTGGGTGGTGGCTGCGGCGGAGCCTTGGTGTCTTGCTCCTGTAGCCTGGCATCGTGGGGGGAGCATTTGGCAGCCTGAAGGTTGGGGGCAGCGGGCAAGGCAAGGGGACAAGAACCCTCAGTGCTGAGGGCATCTCATCTTCTTGCCATTGGCAAAAAAAAATCAAAGAAACAAAATCCATCATCGATTTCTGTGCTGGGTTTTTTTCTTTTTGTTCTTCTGAGTGGTTTTTTTCCATCTTTTTTGTCATTTTTTAAAAGAAAATACAGTGAAGACACTAGAACGGGGAAGACAAAAGACAGATTAGGTGCACAGCTGCCTCTGGCCATCCGTCTGCCAGACCCCTTCCACTCCTGTCTTCATGTCTCTCAGTCCATCCCTCTCTGGGGCCCAAGACTCTGGCTCAAGGCCATCACATAGTAGGTGCTCCATTTTCAGGTCTCCCTCCTCTGCTCTCCTGGTGAGCGGCCATTCTGGCCACACATGTGCCCCACCCTGCCATGGATGGACTGGTTCCGGGGCCTGCGGTCTGATGGACGTAAGCCGTGGTTTATGCCCCAGCCCTACTGTGGATGAATTTCTGCAAAGTGAATCACACTCAGGATGTCCTGGTATGAGGCCAAGTCCCCTGAAGTGTAAAATGCTGTCTACCAATGCATATTTAGTCCCCAGGGAGCTCAGATCTTCCCCCACACACCCAAAGAACCCCTGCTACCTCCCCTTCCCCAAGCCAGGACCCAGCACAGAGCATGTTGCTGTCAAGGCTTCAGTCTACCAGGAAGTCCCAGGAGGTCCATACTGGCCAGAGGGCCTCTCCTGGGCTTGCAGAGGCCAAGGGCCTTCTTCAACAGCAGGTAAGCTCATAAGTGCATGGCCCCGTTCTAAGCACTTTGCATGAATTAACTTAATAGCCCAGAGACTGAGACAGGGATAAAACCCTGGGGAGGTCAAATTCCAGGCCCCTGGCCCTGGCTCAGCTAGGAACCAACTTTCCAGAATATATTAAGGCAAAGGGGATGGAAGACTAGCCCAAGAGCAGGAAAAGGGTTCTCCAGCAGAAATTAACCCATGTGGGGCCAGGCCTGTGCAGAGAAAGCCTTAGCCCTGAGTTGGCTGGCTCCAAGGTTCTTAACTCCCTCGAGGCCCCTTGGTTTTGGGGGTGCCTGGTACCAGCTGCCACTCCCCCCATCCCCTCCCCAGCACACTGGTCTCCTCCTGGGGCCATAGGTGTTTCTAGACCTGGCTGGGCTGCATTGTGTCTGCAGCAGACATCAACTCACCTAAGCAAACACTGGTCAATGGTGGCTCTCCTCATTTCCCGAGATGGTCAAATGGCACGCTTGTCTTCCGGGAGGGGGCAGAGAGATGGGGGATAAGCTTCAAGTCAAGTCCCTCAGCTGTTGGCAACGGCGAGCTGGCAAGTCTCTCCCCACTGTGGAGTCCTCCCACCCCAACCAAGTATCTCAAGCCAAGAGAAGGGGTTCCCGACAACCCTAGGATGTCCCTGCTTTGTAGATAAGAACATTGCACAGAGAGGCAAGGCGACTGCTCCAGGCCATACCCACAATGGTGGCCCATCATCCCATCAAGGGCCCGTCCCATTGAGGCTCCTGTGCCACAGGCAGGAGGATGAGGGCAGGTCTCCTGCCCACCTATGCCAGGCAACCTTCCCTGGGCAACCACAGATTTCCCCTTCCCAACTTTCCTAGTCCAAACATGGACCTTACATGGGGCTGTTGGAGAGGACCTCACCCACCCCTCCATCCCGTACTCTCACCAGTGCTGATAGGGACCCTTGGGGGACTCCCTGATGGCTTCCTGACTGCAAGTACCAGCCAGGCTGGGCCCCTGGCAGCAAGGGCTGGATCCCAGCGCTCCCACTTGCCAGGGCACATTACTTCTCCAAGCCTCGGCTTCTGACTCTGCTCAGTGGGGCTAATCAGACCTCGGAGGATTCAATGAGGCCAAGGGCTGGCTCAACAGAAGGGGCCCGCTCAGTGGTTACAAGTTAGTGGGGAGAGAGAACAGATCCAAGAGGCCTGACTCCCCAGCTGGGGGTCTTGCTCAGCCGTGTGGCCCAGAGGGGCCAGGGTGAGGGCAGCTCACCTGCGAGGCTGAGATCCGGGAGACCTCTTGCCGCCCAGTGAGGTCTGAGGACGAGACGTTGGCGGGTGCGCCCCGGTGCAGCCTCATGCTCACCTTCCTCTCCCGGTCGACCCGAGAGATCGCTCTGGGAGAAGTATTGCCTGGGGGCGAGGCGGGGAAGCACCTCAGTGTGGGCACAAAGGGGATCTGGCCCCTGGGCCCAGCCCACCACCCGAAGCCCTGCTCACCAGCTTGCTGGATGCGGGAGGCTGGGGTGGAGGCCACAGGCTCGGCCGTACTGCGGAGCCGGTTGGCGGTGGCCCCTGTGGGTGGGCCAGGGGGCATGGCCCGGGTCGCAGACCCCCGCAGCTGTCCCATCCTCTCTTCGCGTTCGTGTTCTCGCCGCTCCCGGTCCACGTCTTCGGGATTCCGGGCTGCACCCTACAGGGATGCGAGAGGGGACACAAGTCAGCCCTGTGGGGCCAGGGTGCTCTGGGCCCCAGCACCCCTGTAGGGCAGAACAGGGGGAACGAGGCTGGGTGGGCATCTCAGAAACTCTCTGGTACAACCTCCTCCCCATGGAGTGGGAAAACATGACCCAAGAGGGCTAGAAACGACCCATGATCACACAGCACAGGGAAACGAAGCCACACAACCACCCAAAGGAAGGAGAAAGCAGGTATCTGAGAGGCAGAGGGAGGTCAGTCTGCCCTGGTCTCATGGGAAGGAGTCGGGAGCCAGGAGGGCTAATGCTCCCAGGATACCCAAGGGTACCGTCTGGCCCTCCCAACCTGGGGCTGGGAACTGCCCTGGCCCCTCTGTGTACCAATAGCCCTCAAGCCCTTTGAGGTTTCCAAACTGAGCAGGGAAGGTGTTCAGAGGCCCACATAGCAGACAGCCAAGGGGTGTTCAGAAAGGGGAAAGGATAGGCCTGGAGTTACAAAACTAGTTGCAGTCAGTGCCAGGACTTGGACCAGGTTTCCTGGTGCCCAGCTCCATCCATCAGAGGGCCATCCTTCCCCTGTGTGGGGACCAGCAATGGCTTCTGGCAGGCACTGTGGAGGACACAGCCAGGAGGGGACCCACACAGATGCTGCCTGCCTTGGGACAGGAGCTCAGGAAGAACTAGAGAACAGAACGGATGCCCCATGGAGGAAAAAGAGGCCCAGCAGGCAAGGCTGGAGCAGAAATGGTGCCCTGAGCCCCCAGTGCAGGAGGAAACAAGAAAGGCCCCGAGTCGAGCATGGTGCAGAGCAGTGCGTGGCTGTATTACCTAGTTGGTCCTGGGGCCGTCCGCAGGGAAGGGCAGGGGGCTGGCATGCGGAGGGCCGCATCTGTGGAGGAGAGAGCTGTGGGCTGAGTTGGGGACCTGCTTATAGGCCACAGGGTATGGGCTCCTGCAACCCCGTGCCTCTCCAGGGGGACTGGCCAAGAAAGTCCTGCTGCCCTGGGAAAACGGCGTGGGGGTGGGCCTTCTCTTTAAGCAACTCTGGGAGGTAATTGCTGGGATCAGAATGATCCCTAAATCCTAGTGAGGACCAAGCAAGGCCCAGAGAGCCTCATGATCTGCCTGGGGGCACACAGCTCGGGGCAGAGCTGGGGAGTCTGAACCCAGGCCTCCACCATCTAGTCCTTCTCTGCTCTCTGCACCCCAAGAGGACAGTGTTCAGACACTTGGCTTAGCAGAACACTCTAGGGATGCGTTTCCTCAGTCCTCCCACCCAGAAGCCTGTCAGGCAGGCCTGAGACCACCAAGACTCCATCCTGACCTCTGGTCCTCACCCTGAGCTCCCCACCCACTCAAGTTACCGGGGATGCAAAGACAGTGACTCAGCCAGACCACAGCAACACCCCAGTGATAAATAAGAGCTGAAGAGCTGCGGCACCTACTTATTACCTCCTGTGGACAGTGGCTTATCAACCCCGCAAGACCGAGAATGAGGTACGATCTCACTCCCTAGTTGGGGAAACCGAGGCTGGGTGAGGCTAAATGATTTGCTCAGAGGTGCACAGCCCCGCAGCCAATAGCTAAGTGAGGGCTGGAGTCCCTGCCCTTTGAGACCCCAGCAGATTCAGGCCAGCGCCAGCGGCAGAAGCAAGTGCGCCGCTCTCCCCATTTCCATCCAATCCAAGTGACGCCTTAAGAAATGCACACCAGGGAGCTTTCTTGGCCTTTATTGACGCAAGAAAACACAAAAGTTCAGTGTCAAAGTCACACAAGCATCCCCTGTTGCATGGACCTCTGTCCTTGGCTGTGTTGAATATCCTCTTGGCCAGCTGGTTGGAACTTGGAATCCAGTGGCTGTGTGTGCTGAGAAGGGTGTCCCAGGCTCCAGGTTTCCAAGGATTCCAGCCCCAGTGGATGGGGAGCCACTCCAAAGGCAAGGGCAGATCCTTCCCATGAAAGAGTCATGGTGCCCACACTGTGTCCTGTCTGCTGGTAGGAGCTTGTGAGGCTTCCTGCAGGGAGGGTGGTGTGGGAGAGGCCCAGCCTCAGGGTGAAAAGGTCCCCATTGCGTGTTCTGTGGATGCTTCTGCCAGGGGCTGCTGAAGTGGTCAAGATCACCACCATGGTGACAGGTCAGAGATCACTGTCGGCACCTCTGCCCAACTTCTGACTCCAGGGCTTGCCTCAAAGGGGACTCCATGAAGAGGGTCAGAGCACAGCTAGGGGAGGGTGCTGCTGGCCTGGTTTGAGAAGAGATCTTGCCAGCTAAACAGTCCCAAGAGAGGCTCTCTCTGTAGAGGAGGTGTCTAGAGCAGCTCTGTACACAGAACTTTCTGGGATTATGGAAACTTTCACATCTGACTTGCTGGATGTGGCAGCCACTAGCCAGCCACCTGTGGCTTCTGAGACCTTGAAATGTGGTGAATGTAACTGAAGAACTACAGCTTCAATTTTAATTTTAATTAATTAAAAATTAGCCACAGGCAGCCAGTGGCTACTATATTGAATGGCACAGGTCTGGAGTAGGCACAACCTGTTCTTGGAGCTGTGCTGGTCGCAAGGGCCCAGCCTATTACAGGAGCAGACTCAGGTCTGACTTTCCATAGAGATGAGCAAGTACCCAGTGCCCAACGCCATGAGCAATGCCTTACAGTGAGAAGAGCTGGCCCACACTCCCTGGCCTTAGCCATACTCCCATCTGGAAGGTCTGGGGTGAAAGAGAAGGCACCCCACTGCGCATATCTCTCACCCACAGCCCTGGAGAGAGGGCAACCGAGGCCTCTCCCTGAGGTCCCCGGCCTGTGAAACCCCCCTTCTCTGCCTGACCTCTGTCCTACTCCTTAGGGAAAAGGACCAGGCCACTGTCTGGTACCCAGGGAAAAGAGAAACCCAGGACCAATGTGCCAACCTTGGCGTCCAGGAGAACAAGGCCCCAGCCTCTGGCAGAGCAGGCCGAGAACCTGCCACGAAAGGACAGGCACACCAGGATGAAGCATGGGGAGGCGTTTAATGAGTTCAGGTTCAATACAGAGAATGCCGACAGGGTCTGGCCTTGAGCCTGCTCCTGGTGCTGTTTCCACCAGGCCCCTCCCAGGCAGTGGCCATCATCCCTCCTTTGGACTCTGTCCTGGCCCTCAGGCAGCTGGTTCATTCCCAAGAATCCTGATGCAGGGCCTTTTCCACCATGCTCTCTCCACTGCATTGCCATCTCTAGGGAATAGGGGGTCACCCCAACCATCCCAAGGGACACTTCCTCAGTCCTGGCCCCGATGGGCTCAGGCACACCTGGCGACATCAGAACTGGGGCCCCGGAGTCCAGACCACAGGCCAGTAGTTTTGGGGGGGAAGCTCCTCCACCTCCTCCACCTCCTCCATGGGCCCATCTGGGGAGCCCTGGGTGCCCAGGGGGGCCGGGCACCTGGAAGGGACAGACAGAGCACAGCTGAGTCTCAGCCTCTTGCACTCGCAGGCCAAGTGGCAAATCTTGGGCAAACCAGGCCTTGGTAGGTCCTTACCAGTATGTGGGTGTGCATGTGGGCCCGGCCCAGGGACAGGGGCGGGGGTAGGGCGGTGCAATAGCTTCGCTGTCACGGGGCCGAGCCTGGCTCGAGGAAGCCCCCTTTTCCAGAAGAGATGTGAAACAAGACATACGATTTCACGGATTCCGGAGCTCCAGGCACAGCTGATAAATACTTCTCCCCACCCAACCCCCAGGACCCTTAAAAGAGGGAGACAGAACAGCCACCTAGCAAGACCCAGGGTCCCATGACCAAGAAGAAAGAAACCACTATGAATGGGTCGAGGGTGGCCAGAGGGGCTGTGGTGAAGGCAGCCGCCTGCGACGTGCAGAACAAGAAGAGCAGGATGGTGTAGGCAATGATCAAGGCGGTGGGGGGGCCCACCAGCACCACCCACGCCCCACCACCGGCACCTAGGAGGGTCTCGAGGCCCAGCCAGGTCCTCCTTGGTCTGGCGGGAGGTGATGCCCTGCCTGGGCCCTGCTGACCACAGCAGTCAGCATTGATGAGGCTGGAGGCGGGGGGCTCTGGGACCCCAGTGAGGTCACTTGCCCTGTCCAGCTCATACCTCCCATTAGTCGGGAGCCCTGCCCTCCACTGGGTCACTTTGGCCTTATGAGTCAGGGCCTGCCCCGTCCAGTCCCCCAAGCCCGCCTTGGCCTCCAGGTGACTCACGAATTTGAGCATGTTCCAGTCGAAGACGTAGTCATAGGAGAAGCCCTGCCGGTGGAAGAGGTTGCGGAAGAGCTGGCGCAGGTAAGAGTAGTCGGGCTTGTCGTCAAACCGCAGGGAGCGGCAGAAGTTGAGGTATGTTGAGAACTCGGCTGGTGGGGGTCACAGGGGACAGAGGAGGGTGCTGTGAGGCCCACGCTCCCAGGGCCCCCAGCAGCCAGCATTATCCTAGCCACGCACTGTTCCTACAAACACTTTCAATCTAAGTGGGGCAAGATGAAGACAGAACAGAACTACAGTCCTCCCTATGGAGATGAAACCCTGGCTGGCCTGTGAGCAGAGCCCTCTCTCAGGAGCTGGCTCTGGGGACCGCATACACAGCTCTTCTGCTCTCACCAAGCATTCAGGGGTCATGGAGACCACAGACCAATAACTGACATACACTCAAAGGACACTCAAGAGCCCTGTGGGAACTCCTAACACGACCTAAGCAACAGGAGGAAAACTGCCATTTCTTCCTTGAAAAAGCTGGGGTAGATGAAGGCCCCTGGGAGATAAGGCAGGAGTGTGGGTCGGGGAGCACGTGATTAATGCTCTGGTGCCAAGTATGGGCTGTGTGTCCCTTAGAAAGGGCCTCAGGGGTCCCCAGGCTGACCACCTCCTCTACTGGGCTACTCACAGGGGTAGCCTTTGCAGAGGACCTCGATGGGCGTCGACATCTTCTTCTCACTGATCCGTTCATACTTCTGGCGCTTGGTGGCTGCTTTGAGGCCCTGCCAGGGCAGGGAGCCCAGGTTGAAGTACATGAGCACGTAGCCCAGACTCTCCAGGTCATCTCGACGGCTTTGCTCTGCATAGAGTCGGGGGCAAGGTAAGGGGCAGGGTCCGTTCAGGCCCCTGGCTGCTCCTCCAGGTCATGCTCCTAGCTGTGCCCCCTGCACTGGACCCTGCGCCGCCACTGCATGGGGGCTCAACACTGCATGGGGGCTCACCACAGCTCTGTTACAAACAGGCACTGTCACTACCCACCTCCTACAGAGCTTTATCAACTCAATTTGGGCCTAGTTTTTCTAGCTCAGGCCCTTACTCATTCAACGACTATGAGTGGGCACCCACTCTCTCCTTGCCTGGCCCACACTGTGGAGAGGGCACAAGCTTTGGCATCAGACGGGGCTGCGGTCAAATCTGGCTTTGGTACCTGCTAAGCTACACAGTCTTAGGCAACCGCTGTTAAATCTCCGAGCCTGTGTTTTCCAGCCTGCACAAATAGGGAGATGTCCTCACCCACTCACGGGCCACCATGAGGATGAGGCGGGGCGCGTGAAGGCCCTCAGCACACGTGGCTCTGCTTATGAAGGGGAAGGCCTGACTTTGTGCAAGGACACCTGCTAAGCTACACAGTCTTAGGCAACCGCTGTTAAATCTCCGAGCCTGTGTTTCCCAGCCTGCACAAATAGGGAGATGTCCTCACCCACTCACGGGGCCACCATGAGGATGAGGCGGGGCACGTGAAGGCCCTCAGCACACGTGGCTCTGCTTATGAAGGGGAAGGCCTGACTTTGTGCAAGGCAAGAGAGTCCAGGCCTGGGGGCAGATGGGGTGGGCAATTCCTCAGTGAGGTTCACTAGAAAAGTGCCTGGGGATCTCCAACCAAGGTGGGGGTGGGGACCAAGAAAGCCAGGTGCTGGCCAGCAGCCCAGGGTGTGCTTGGCTCCGGGCCTAGCTCACTCACCAATGCCCAGGTGGGTGTTGATGGAGGCATAGCGGGCAGTGCCGGTCAGGTTCTTGTTTTCCCGGTAGGGGATGTGCTGGTGCGTGCGGGCATCCCGGTACTTCTTGGCTAGGCCAAAATCGATGATGTATACCAGGTTGCCCTTCTTCCCCAGCCCCATGAGGAAGTTGTCGGGCTTGACGTCCCGGTGGATGAAGTTCTTGGAGTGGATGTACTCGATGCGGCTGATCTGGGGGAGGGGGAAGGCAAGGGAGGGGACAGCAAGTTATTCAGCCAATGTCCAATGAAGGAACCTTCACCAAGTGTTCCAGGCCAGGCCCTGGGCTGGGGGCTGACAGCTGGAAAATGCTCACATGGTCCCTGCCTGGCAAGGGAGAAAGATGTGTCCACAACTGTGTAAGATGATTTCAAGGGGCAGGCCAAGGAAGGCTTCCAGAGGAAGTGACATTAGAGATGAACTCTGAAGGAGGAGTTCACCAATTTTGCTGTGAGACAGGGAAAGAGAGAAAGGTAAGAAAGCTAATGGCAAGACTCAGAAATGAAGTCGAGCAGGAAAGGCATCCAGGGTCTGTGGAAGCCTCTCCTGCCTGGCCTGGTTCTACCCGAACAGGGAATAGGACGTGGGGAGCCAGAGTCAGAGAGGCTACCTGATTTGGGGGTAGGGGAGGGCAGGAAGTACCAAGGAAGCCTAAAATCGGCAGGGGTGCTAGAGACAAGCACAAAGACAGGACTTATCTCCTGGCTTCCAAAGGACAAAAAAGTCAAGCAGACACACAAGCCTTCTCTTCCCTTTAAGTGATTTTTACTTCTTTTCTTTTATTTTGGCAGCTGGCAGGTACAGATATTGAACCCTGGACCTTACTGTTATCAGTTCCATGCTCTAATCAACTGAGCAAACCGGCCAGCCTCCCCACCCCCTTTTTTGGGGGCAGATTTTTTTAATACTTCAGATTAACATCCATGCGCATGACATATGATATGTCCTCTGGCAGGTCGCTGAGCTCTGGGCCTCAGGCTTCTGTAAATCAAAGGCTTTGGCAGGACTGAGTATTTCCTCCACTTTTGAGCCTCATGCCCCAGGAGAACCTGCACGTGCATTTAGCCTAAACTGCAGGGCGTCTGTGGACTTTCTGCAAGCCAGCCGCAGACCAAGACTAAAATCCCTGTATAACAAGATCTCTATGCTCCATTCCAGGTCCAAAATTCTATGGTCTTATATTTCTGAGAAGCTTTCCTCCCTGTGTTTATAAAGGGCTTTAGGATCTAACAATCGCTTGTTAGTGGGCACCTGCTCTGACCCAGGCACTGCGTGGCATCTCTCAGGTGAGGCGACTGAGGCTCACAGAGGCTTAGCTATTCAGCTGCGGTCACCACACTGGGACAGGACGCAAGTCTGTGTGAGCACAGGCTTTAAAATCACCAGAGGCCTGAGCCCAGGAGCCTGACCCGGCAGGTCCGGAGTTGGGCCTGGAATATGCATTTTAAACAAATACTTCCAGGATTCTATAGCCGGTGGTCAAGGTTCCCTGGTCCAGGAACCAGGCCTGGCCTATGCCCAGCAGGTCTGGAGTTGGGCCTGGAATATGCATTTTAAACAAATACTCCCAGGATTCTATAGCCGGTGGTCAAGGTTCCCTGGTCCAGGAACCAGGCCTGGCCTATGCCCCTGCCACTGCTTGCTCCTCCAGCATGTCTTGGAGGCATGTCCACTGGCACCCTGGAGAAGTAGAGGTTGGGAGGGAAGCTGCTGGCCCAGCAAAGCCCATGGTCACATGGCCAGGTGGTAGGTGAAGACTCACCATCTGGTCGGCCAGGAGCAGCACCGTCTTGAGGCTGAACTTGCGGGAACAGAAGTTGAAGAGGTCCTCGAGGCTGGGCCCCAGCAGCTCCATAACCATCACGTTGTAGTCGCCCTCGGCCCCGCACCACTTGATAGATGGGATCCCCACTGGGGCCAGGGAAGAGGTCGCTGTTAGGGGCAGCAGCTCCCCACCTCTCCCTCCTCTCCACATCATCACAGCTCCCTGCCCTGGCCAGGACCCTGCCGGCCTCACCTCCGCCCTGCATCATCTTGTAGAACTTGCTCTCGATGTGCAGCTGCGGGTGCTTCGTCTTCACACACTCCAGCTTGATGGCAACTTCTTCACCAGAGGCGATGTTGGCACCTTCCAGGGGCAGAGAAAGCAAGGGACCAGGTTCACATGGCATGTCTGAGGCCTGCTGAACACCAGGCCTGGGCTGTCTCAGTGTCTGCCCTCGAAGAGCTCAGCGCCTCTTGGGGGAGGCTGGAAAGGAGGAAAGGAGGCTTGGCACAGAGCGGTGGGTGGGGGGCTGAGCCAGGGATTCCCAAGAGGAGAGAACAGCAGCCTGTGCAAAGGGAAGGAGGTGAGACACCACAGGCTACTCAGAACCTCGGGTCAGAGGCGGCAAGGGGGTCGGATACATGAGGGGAAGGAGTGGAGCCACCCAAGGGACAGACTTAATCCTAGGCCAGTGGGGTGTGTTGAGCTGAGGTGGTATGTGGAGGAGAGAAGGGGCCAGGCAACACTGGTGACAAGGACCCAATGGGGATATGGTGTTGTATACACTGCGACAGGCCTGAGCTGTAGAACAAGGCTCAGGAAGCGGGCAAAATAACCAGCCCCCTGCCTGCCCACATCCATGCTGACACCTTCAAAGGCAGCCCACATACTCCACCAAGCATCTCATTGAAGTCTCATCCCCATTTTATAGAGGAGAAAACTGAGACCCAGCTCAAGGTCATATGGCTAGTAAGCAGTGGACTTGGGGGACAACCCTGGCTCTGCTGGCCTCTGAGTCTAGGTAAGAGGGTCCTGTCTATACCTCCACCTCTCTCCCACCCCACTCCTGGGCTGTCACCTGTAGCTTTGAGGGGCTCTAGGAAAATACCTTCACACACACGGAGCTCCCTGCCTGGGACCACCCTATAGCTCAAGAAGTCATGAGAAAGACCAAATCTAAACTGCAACTTGCCTCAGGTTGCCCAGCTGTACTAATGGTGGGCTGAGCTGGAGGGCTGGGGGTTAGCTGAGGGACAGGGAGTCTCCTTCATGGGCTGAGGAGTGAGTCTAGCTGCCAGAGCTAAAACAGTGCGGTATGAACACCCAGACGGACAGAACAGGAAGTTCAGAGAGGACAAACCACCAGATGGACTCAGGACAGGATGAAGCCGGTGCTTCAAATCAGGGGAATATGGACCTATCCCATACGTGACCTTATTGACATCTGGCTAGCCATCTGAGAAAAGACACCATAGCTTACGCCACAACCAGAAGAAATCCCAAGTGGAGCAAAAGTTTGGACATGAGAATAAAAAAGGTGGGGGTGTAAATTCGCACAGCTGCTCTGCATTTACCTAGTAAAGCTGAGCACACACCGTTGACTGAGCAGCTCCACTCCCGACTGCGTGCCCTCCCGAAACTCGTGTGCACCAGGGGGACAGGACCCAACAACCCCACAGCCCAGCAGTAGAGAAACAGCTGCCATGACGCGATCACACGAGGAACAGTGAGGGCAGGAGAGGAACAGAGACAGCCTCACACGGCAACCAGGGCGACTCCCAGCCATCAGCTCTGGGCAAGACAGCAGCAGCACACTCACAGCCAGAGGCTGGAAACGACCCATGTGTCCACCGGCCGAGGGCATGCAGTGTACCCATCCCACGTACAAAAATACAGTTTACCCATTCTATGTGTCCATAGAAGGTACACACAGTTCTATGTACACAGCCTAGGTTACACAGATCCATGTACATATCATGAACATACAGTGAATCCATGTACACACTTTGTACGTATATGGATATGTATGTCCACACAGTGGAACATTATTCAGCATAAAAAAAGAAACAAGTCCTGATACATGCCACGACATCGATGGACCCTGGAAACATCATGCTAAGAAAAGATGCTGGACACAAAAGAACAAGTATTGTATAATTCCGTTATATAAAATGTCCAGAGAAAGTAAACACAGAGACACAGAAAGTAGATTGGTGGTTGCCAGGAGCTGGGGCTAGTGAGAAATAGGGAGGGACTGCTTAATGGGATGGGGTTTTCTCTTGGGGCAGTGAAGAATGTTTTGGAATTAGATAGGGTGGTGGTTGCACAACATTGTGAATGTACTAAATGCAACTGAATCGAACACTTTAAAAATGTTAATTTTATGTTATGTGAATTTTACCTCAATTTAAAAAAAAGGGAAGACCGCAGGTGACTGAAGAACGCAAACATGGCTCCTGCACCACTGAGCAGCGCACAGTTTAGGGACACAAACATGCTGAAACTTGAACATAAGGGACTAATTTAAAATATCTGATAGTGGTTACCTCTGTGGAGTATGGGACAGGGGAGGGGTACTGGGGGAGCCTTCAAAGTGACAGGCATGTCCTCTTCCTTCAACAGGGTGGTGCCCAGGGAAAAGTGCCTTACCCTGCACATATTTTATATATTTTCTTTGTATCTACTCAACATTTAATTAAACATAAAATAACATATTAGAAGGAAAGAAGGGAGAATTGCTTTATAACCTTGGGATTAGGCAAGGTTTTTTAAATCCCTGACTTAAAATCTAGAAGCCAGGCCGGCCCGTGGCTCACTCGGGAGAGTACGGTGCTGATAACACCAAGGCCATGGGTTCGGATCCTAT